TAACCTTGTCTGTTTCTTCTATTGCTATGGGTCTGTTGAGATTCTTGACGTCCATCAAGGATAGTCTAGGGAGGGATTGCTTTTCCAAGAATTTTTACATGCCTTCCAAATTTTTGAATTCATTGTAGTACAATCCTTCGCAGTACTGTGTAATTATCCTTGTGATTTCATTAGGGTCTGTTGTAATGTCCCGTATTTCATGCCTTATTCTTGCTAGTGAAATTTGTTCCCGCCTTTCTTTTGTTAGGTTTGCAAGTGGTCTGTCAATTCTGTTTATCCTTTCAAAGAACCGACTTTTAGCAGCATTGTTTTCCTTAGTTTTCTTATTTTCCCACTCCTGAATCTCAGCCCTGATTTTTAGTCTTCCTTTTCTTTTGCTATTAGTAAGATTGTCCTGCTGACTCTGCTCTACTTGTAAATTTTGTGCCAGCATATCAATCATGAGTCTCTCTTCCTTTCTCAGGTGTGCATGTATTGCTATGAAACTTCCTTTGCTGTGTCCCATAAGTTTTGTTACATTTTGTGCTCATTTCCATTGGTTTCCAGAAATTTTCTAATTTCATCTCTGATCTGTGCCAGTACGCACTCTTTTTGCAGTAGAGAGTTATTCATCCTCCAATTGTTTACTCTTGTTTTCTTCGTCTTCCTTTTGTTGATTTCCAGCCTTATGGCACAGTGGTCAGAGAGAGGTCTGTATGATATCAATGTGCTTAAATTTATGTAGATTCGCCTTATGCCCCAGCATGTGGTTTATCTTCGAATACATGCCATGTGGGCTTGAGAAGAATGTGAATTTTTTTGGTATTTCAATGAAAAGCTCTGTAAATATCTATCAGGTCAACTTATCTAATTATAGTGTTTAGATCTCCAGCCTCCTTGTTGAGTTTCTTTTCCTGTGATGTCTTTCTCAGAGAGCGGTGTACTGAAGTCACTCACTATAATTGTTGAGGCCGTGATTTATTTTTTTAATGTTTTGGTGTGTTTGGTTGAGGTATTCAGCGGTTCTCTCATTTGGGGAATATATGTTTACAATGCTTAGTGGTTCTTTGTCTACCATTCCCTTGAGCATTGTATAGTGTCCCTCCTTTTCTCTTTTTATCGTTTGCTCTTTGAGGATTGCAACCCTGCTTTTTTTTGAATCGCTGTTTGCTTGGTATGACTTTCTCCAACCTTTGGTTCTCAGCCTATTTTTGTCTGTAGCCTTGAGATGTGTCTTCTGTAGGCAGCAGATTGATGGGTTGTGTTTTCTAAGCCAGTCTGCTACTCTCAGTATTTTAATGCCTGAGTTCACACCAGTGATATTCAGGATTATTAGCTCCATCTGCAGACTGTGTGATTTCATCGTATACCTTTTGTGTTGGGAGTTTTCCTACTTTCCTTTCTCATTAGTGTGTTGTGCATGTGTGTGTATGTGTATCATTCTTGACTTCTTTCCATCCTTAAGCAAATGCTATCTTGGCATCTGTTTTCTCTTTGTTGCCCTCTGGGTGAGGTTGTTCTATGTGGCGGTCGCTTATTTATACGCTGGGTGAGTTGTTCTTCTGCCCATACTGGGTCGGCAAGGATCTTTTGTAGGGCTGGGTTTCTTCTAACGTATTTTTTGAGTTTTTCCTTGTTCGGGAAGATTTTTACTTCTCCATCTATCTTGATCGATAATTTGGCTAGGTAGACTATTCTTGGGTTTGTGTTGTTTTTCTTCAATTTTTGGAATGTTACTCCGCTCTCTCCTTCTCTTCATAGTTTCTGTTGATAGGTATGAGCATATTCGTATTTGGGAACCTTTATATATGATTGCTTGTTTTTCCCAGCTGCTCTCATGATTGTCTCCTTTTCCTCAAAGCTGGATAGTCTAACTATTATGTGCCTTGGTGACTTCTTGGGATTCTGTCTAGTTAGTGTTCTTTCAGCCTCCTGAATTTTTGCCTGGTTTTCATTCATTAAGCTGGGGAAGTTTTCCTCTAAGAGTTCTCTCACTATTGTTGCAGATGACTTCTTTGTTGTGTCTTCCTCCAGTAAACCAATTGTTCCGTTTTATAGCATCAGATATAGCTCTTAGGTTTTCTTCAGCCTCTCTGATGATCTTATTAGGTTTTTGTTCGTGTTTGTTAGTCTTCTTTGCTGTCCTCCAAGTCACTGATGCGGTTCTCTGCTTCCTCCAGTTGATTCTCGAGGTCCGTGTTTCTGCTACTGGTTTTGTTATCTTCTCCCTAAGCTCCTGTATGTCCCTTGGTGTATGGCCTTTATCTCCTCTATCATTTCATCCTTTTTCTGTATTTCCCTCATATCCTGTATGACTCCAAGAAAATGTCTTTCTGTGGCAGCTCAATGTCTGCTTCTTCTATGTATGTCATTATATTCGGGGCATCTTCTGCCATTGCCTTTTGCTTCTCCTGTTTGTTTTGTTGTTGTTGTTGTTGTTGTTGAGGTCATTGGGGCTGATGGCTGTTTGCATTGCATTGTTTTAGAGTATCCAGGTGCCATTTTCCAGCGAGTCGAAGAGCACTGGCTCTCTCTGGAAGACTTGTAGGAATGCTTCTTCAAACTGCCTACAGCTCATTTCACTATGGAATTAATCTACTACTTTATCCTGTTGCTTCCCTCTCAGGGGAGTGCCCCAGAAGGCTGGTGTGTTGCCTGCTTTGGTGTTGCAGATGTTGCGCAGAGGTTCCTGCAACAGCTTGGAATGTTGACAGAGTGGTTGCTGAGCTGCCTTATGCCCCTGGTACACAGGCAGGAATTCCCCATGAGAAGTTGGGCAGAGTATCCCCTGGAGGCAAAGCAGGGCTATCCCCAGCTTCGGGCAAGCTACACAGAGTGGAGCTCACCTAGCTGTTTGTGTTGCAGGTGTAAATGCCCTAGGTTAAGGGGTGTTGTCTGGAGGTCAGCAGTGGAGTGTGAGAGAACAGGAAAAAGACTGAGAGGAGAAAAAAAATTTAAAAAGTAAGACCACTTAGCCTGTGCAGGTTTATAGGGAAGAGAGGGAAGCAAGAGCAGCAATGTAGCTGAATCCCATCCCCTCCCGTGGAGCTGCAAGGGTTTACTCCCTGCCCTGAAGAGGCGCTGACCCGAGTAAAAGCCCCTACGCAGCCCTTCAAGACCGTGGGAGGACAGAGAGGGGAGATGGATACGAAAGAAACAATGTAGCTGAACCTTGATCCCTGCCTGCGGGGGCGAGTGTTTAGTCCCTGCCCAGAGGTGGTGGTGGCAAGCTGGGGCTGTGTTGATACCAAGCCCCCCTCCGAACTCCAAATGGTTCCGGCTCTGGCAGGGACAGTGACGAGGCCAAGGTCAAGTCCCCGGTCTCTCATAGCCCCATTGGTCTGTGCCTACTTATCTTTATGATGCTCCTCCTGCTTCCAGCAGCGTTGAATTTCCATCTGAGCAACTCTTCTTGGCTGAATTCTGCGGATTCCTTCTGGTTTGTGTCACTCCGTCGCCATCTTTACATCCTATAGCTTTATATAACAGAAGTGCATGGGACTAAGGCAGGGCATATATAAGTACCTGCTTTAGGCACTATTCCTTGTACGACAAAAATACTAAATATTTTTTCTTTGTCAGTACAAGGATTGGAAATTGGTTTTAAAAAAAAGTTATAGACTCAGACACCCACAAGGGCAGTTGTACTCTTGTTTTGTAGGGTTGCTGTGAGTCACGATCACCTTTATTGAGCTTAGTTTGTACGACTTGGAGTTCTGTAGCACACGATATTTGTCTTCATTATTTTGGCTGCCATGGTCTCCCTGGATCTAAGTCTAGTGTTAAGGAATCTTGCCACTGATTGGACTCCCTGCTCTCCCGGAGGTATGTGGGCTTGTCAGTGACTTTCTTAAAGTGCACACTTCATGTGCTTTGCCTTCTGAAGGAGAATACTTTTCTTTATCTCACACACCAGAAGCAGTGCTTCTTCCATTGAGCACAGCCTGTTTAATCCAACTGTAGAATCTTCATGTCCTTATTTAGTGAACCTGTTCAGAGGTCTTCTTTCAACAGTGATATTTGTAGCTGCCTTCACAGCTGCTCCAGAGGTTTTTGTCATTTTCCTCTGAAGAGGGTCTCTTCTATAAACTTAGAAGATTTAAAGTAAGTTTTTGTTAACTACAGAAATGTGAACATGTGTCCAATTAATTAGGTTGTGGGCTTTGATGTAGTCTTTTCAGCTCATTAAGTCCTGCTGTGATTATTATAAACTCTGGGAACAATACCCGTTATGTAGATATATTCAAAGTAATACTGCTGAGATACACCCCTCAGTTCTGTGTGATTATCTTTTGCCATATATTGTATGTTAGCATTTTACTTCTCTAATCTCCTTACTCACTTGTCTATGAATGAGCCATCATTTGTTTAATATAAGTTCATGCTATTCTAGTTTCTTGCTCAATTGCAGAAAGCGAGTGAGCGAGTTTCCTTTGTTTTTTGATATTGTAGGGCCATCGAAGAAGCACTGTGGTATAACAGTTAATTGGCAAATTTGATTGTTGGTGGTGATAAAAACCCCAGCTCTTAGGTCATCTGTAGGTGTTTCTAGCCCTCAATGAATTACAGGAGCTCTGGTAGTGTAGTGGGTTATGAATTAAGCTGCTAACTTCAAGGTCATCAGTAAGAAACTACCAGCCACTCTGCACGAAAAAGATGAGGCTTGTACTTCATAAAAAGATATAGTCTGGAAACCCCCAGAGGCAGTTGTACCCTGTCCTATAGGGTACAACTATCTCAACTAATCTCATTTCTATGAGATTAATAGGTGGAAACTGTGGTCATTAATAGAAATATGGGGGTAGGCATTGTATGGATAGAGTAGTGTGTGTCATTCATGGCTTGTCATCACTGGCAGTTCAAGCAATTGGAAGAGGGGAGTAGTCACATGCAGAGCATGAATGTGGAACCCGGAAGTCAAGAGTCCTAACTCAGCCTGGTGTGTGATGGTTAAAGCAAGCTGGTGAGCTGTGAGAGGACAAGAAGGAAGTCCTTTCCAGGATGCAGCAAATTTGATGGTAATGACTGAACTTGAAAATGTGGACAACTGTAGATTTCAGTCTGAGGTTTGTAAGAGGTTAGTGTTAGTATCTGACACAATATGAGCTGAAATGGGCTGGTATTGGCCATTTTGAGTTGGACCATCATGGTTTATTGTGCCAGAAATTGCAAATCTAAGAAGAATGTCACATTTATTGTTACAAAGAACATTTCATGCTTTATCTTAAAGTTCGCAAACAATTACAGTACACTGTACAAAAGCAAAAATGCATCTGATACGTAGCTCCAATACGTAGCGATGCAGACAGAAGCGTGTACAGTATGAGCCAATCAGTGGCAGTAATGACAGAGCATGCGCTGTTACGCAAAAACCGCGATAGAGTGAAGCCGCGGAAGTCGAAGCGCGAAGTGGCGAGGGTTCACGGTATAGGCTCACTATGATTTGGAAGCCACTCAGTGGCATTTGGCAACTAGAGTGTACCTTAATCTGTTTTATTCCAAGACAGGTCTCCTGTGTGTGCCCTCCCTTTCTCAACATCTCTGCTTATGGAAAGCTCAAGGAGTCTGAACTAATCATCATTGTCTTTATATTGTGTATAGTCTCAGAATTGACAATTTTCCAGTTTCCATTCTACATCATTGCGTGTGGCTGGGTGAGTCTGAAGAGGGACTGATGGACTAGTGTCAGACTTATGGACTTAACTCTGGACTAGACTGAGACATTTTCCTGATATATAATGACTTCTTGATATAAACTCTTTTTTTTTAAATTAAATACTTTTATTGGGGGCTCTTACATCTCTTATCACAATCCACACAATCATCTGTTGTGTCCAGCACATTTGTATACATGCTGCCATCATTTTCAAAGCATCTTCTTTCTACTTGAGCTTTGATATCAGCTCATTTTTCACCCTCCCTCCTTCCCTCCACCCGCCCTTCCTCATGAACTCATGATAAGTTGTAGATTATTATTTTCATATCCTACATCATCCTCTGTTGCCCTTCACCCACTTTTTCTTACAGATATATGAGTGTCCTTGGATTTGTTTTTCTAGTCAGCCCGACCTAACTGTCAACTCAATAGGAGGAAGATTCGATAGGAGGAAGATTCTTTTTGTTGAAGAATGGGCTGGAAAATTGCATTCTCAAGTCCCAGGGAACTTATGAAGCTTGTGAGAAAAACAGTGACAATTATGAATGATTATCCAGAAAGTCAATATGAATCGATAATGAGAAAGCTGAGAGGAAATAGGAAATAAAATAGGTATTTGGCAGTAAAAAATATGTCATCTAGTGTGATACCTAGCACACTTCAATTCTGTCTGAAACCATTAAGTGTTTATTTTGTATACAACAATAAAACATAATACAAAGGATACTTAAAATGCTTTTGTTTTCCCTCAAATAATTTTTGGAATTAAGCAAGATTAACTAATATGTCAAGAATGTTTCTTTGGTAAATTCCACATGAATAGAAGCTGGGTAGCCTGCTGGGAAAAGTGATCCAGGGAATGGAACCCTTGGATGGAACGCTAAAATCTTTCACTTGATCGTTTCCTTGAAGGTTGCCAGATACGTTGGGTCATCTAAGCACAGGACCAGCTTTTTTCTTGGACAGCTCTGAGTGTCAGAAAACTCTCTTTTACTCCAATAACATCATCTTCTTTCACCTATTTGTCTCTTGAAACCTCTTGAAATCTTCATAAAATGCTCTGTCTCCTTGTAAAGCTAGCACTTGGTCTCCTTTCTTTTAGTTAGATAGCTTCAGCTTTATTTATTACATAACCTTACGTAGGTGGCACGAGGAAGACCATATCTGACCTCCTCTGGCTTCCCTGTCGCCACAAGGCAGAGGTCAAATGTGCCTCTACCCTCCATCTTTCTTTTGCATATTCTGACCCTAACCATTCCTCCCAGGACACTCTATATTTTTGCCATGCTCAATAATTCACTCTAATGGCCACTATCTACTCACAGACAATATGGAGGTTTATTAAGGAAGTTGTGGGGAAGGGTTTGTGAGAGGAAGGCTGTATTACTTACTATTAATACAGCCAGTTTGGGGGTCATTAATTGCTAATGCATTTTGTGATGTAAAAAAAAAAAGTAGTAATAGTTATACTACCCACTTACCACAGAAAATTCTGTTAATAGTTTGATCTACTACATCATCAAAGAGATGTCCATATGTCCATATGCAGGTATGGATAAGAGTGTTTTATATAGTAGAATATAAAGACTATGATAAAGCAAGACATAGTAAAATATGGAAAATGCTTATAAAAATTTACTTAATAAAATATATCCTCCAAACTAAATCTAAATTAATTTTTTTATCATTTCTATATATGCTACAACTTACATAAAAAGAAATACTAGTTAAGGAGTTGATACCAGGAGCTCTAATAGAAGGTGAATGTTTGGAAAATAGTAATGACAACATATGTAGAAATATGTTTGATACAATTGATGTATGTAATGTCAGAAGAGCTGTAAGAGCCCCCCCCAATAAAATCATCTTTAAAAAAAGAGATGCTAGTTAGCTTTAAATTTACCACGACTGCTACCAAGCTTCTCTGCAACAGAAATTGCCATTCACTTTTAATGAATGGTGTGTTAGGCCACGTCGACTAATAAACAAATCTAGAGACACTCCTATATGTATAAGAAAGAGCTTTATAACAAGAAGTAATTATTTATCGAGAAAACATCCCAGCCCAGTCCAACTCAAGTCCATAAGTTCCCCTTCAGACTCATGCAGCCACATGCAATGATGCAGAATGCAGGGAGATTACAGGTTAGTGGGTGCAAAGTCATGTGGATCTAGTGGTGGCTCTGGCAGCAGTCAGGTCAGCCAGTAGGAAGGTGAAAACAGAGGAGGGGTAGTGTATTAGTCTAGGTACTTTACAGAAATAAATCCACAGCAACTCATGTATAAGAGAGTTTTATGTAATGAAAGTGTGCATCACGAAAACATCCCAACCCAATGCTGCCCAAGCCCACAAGTCCAACATTGACCCATTTACCCAACACCAGTCCACAAAGCCCTCCACCTCACAAAACAGAGGCAATGATGCCGACTGCAGGAGGAAAGCTGAGTCCGTGAACGTGAAAGCATCTCATCACTAGCAGGGGTCTCCACACGGCTGCTCCAGCACCCAGGGCTGCATCGGGATAG